TTGAAATGCAATTGATATACTGATTAAAATAGATTGCAACAATAGCGGATTAAATCCTTGCAACATGTTTCGATTCCAAAAAATGCCCTTGTTAGAATGAACTGAAATTGATGTCATCATGCATTTTCTATTTTTAGACGAGAGATTAAAGTAGAATTACGAAATTTGCTTTATATGGCAAACTGAATATAATTTCCGGAAGTACTTTATGTTCGTACGCGTATGATTTAAATTTTATTTCACAAACAGAATTGGCGGATAAATTGAAATTATTGGAACAGAAAAATTGTTGTTTTTCATGTGGGTCATACCAGAGTTCCTGCAACTGTCACCGACAATGATTCATAATCGCCTCATATTGTGAAACATGGTAACATAATAAAATTACTTTATTTGTTCTCCGAAGTGGGGCAATTTAAAAAAAAAATGGTGCAAGTTCCACAAATCATATCTCTACTTAAATATGCTTAATATTTTTCTTTCTATTTGCATTTCATTGTTTTGTCAATTTATATAGAGTCTCCCACGACGATTTGAAAATTCATATGGATATGGGAAACTACTAGAATTAGTTTTTTGAAACATTCAAGCAAATGTTGCGCGAGATGCTTTTTGAAGTAATAATTTAGTCATTAGCAATACTTGAAAGCAACCCTTGATACACAATATATGAGAAATGTTTGCTATATATTGCAAATTTAAAAATCTATTTTTTGGACGTACATATCTCTCAAAATTCCAACAGGGTGCTCATTTTTTCAGACAAGTCAGTAGGCCAGGGCAGAACTGTAATCGCGAAAAAACTTCAAATGGAAGAATGATTTTCAGATACAACATAGTAGGTACAGTTTTTGTGCCGTTGGCCAGGTAACCCTTGGCCCTCTATTACAGACAGAAACATATTTTTAGTGTTTGTTAATAGGTCCTGTAAGCTAATTTAATCATTAATCCCTCTATAACTTGGAAAGTATCACTGGATTTTGAAGAAATTTCGAAAGGCCTGAGCTGTGCAATTTGAAAATACATGGAGTGGAATCTGCGTTGAACCATCAGGAAGCTGCGGTTGCAATGTTATTTACAAACGTCACAAAACTTGTTTAATCATTCTAGTCAAATTTCAACCCTGTTGTAAAAGAAATTGTACAGAAGGATTTACAGATTCTTTAGAGTGAATGCTAAGGCCCCTCATCTCCAAATAGAAAAATCTGGGTAACTTTTTCATCAAACTTCAAAGTTGTGTCTATAGATCAATAATTGAGAAAGGTACGAAAACCCCTTCAAAATGAGAACTAATGGGTACGTCCAGTTCGTTGCAACGGTTAATTGGTTACTGAATTAACATAATCAAAAATGTTATTTACAAAAATTATGGATATTCTCTTCCTACTTGGAATATGTTGCTCACTACAGGGTGATTCATACACACACACATCTTTTAGTATATTCTAATATGCCACTTCAAGGGAAGAAGGTTTTATATAACCTGGGATATAGCATATTATACTAGTTCCGGAAGGAACGAATTCTCCCAAAATCGTTTCTAAGCTAAAGAAAGGAGGGGGGACAGCTGCCCTCTCGCCTCCCCACCCCTGAGTACTCCCTTCTTGTGATTCTGATAATGTTTTTCTTTATGAAATTAAATAATGTGGAAAGAATATCAATAAGAAACTACAGAAATCACAGTTTTATCAATTTTGGAGCTACATACTACAAAAAAAGCGGCGGGCTCTCTTGAAATTTTGTGGCAAATTTTCCCTCAACTTTCATATCATCAATCAGATTGAAGATTTACTATTTTTTCCATAGGAGCCAATGTCGATTCCAATGAAAAAGAATGATGACACGTGGACTAGAGACAACAAATAAAAAGCTCCGCCTTTTGTAGAATATTAAGCTCCTACATTCCAACTCAATTCTGATTCTGCTTCTGCTGTCGTTAGCAATATTATGGAAGATATTGCCTTTGTTACTCATGCGGAAGTGTCAACAGAAATTGTGGCCAGTCTGAATCCCAGAAAGGTTCTAGGATTCGAAGAAGGGAAAGTGCTCAAACAGTACCCGAACAAAGTGTTTTAATGCTGAGGCATCTATTCAATGCAATCCTTCGTTGGAACCATATGCCCTTTAAATGCTGCTGACGTTACCATGATTCAGAAGTCAGGAAAGGCGCCTATTGAAGTCAAATCATATAGACCCACGTCGATGCTGTCTATTATTTTTTTACACTATAGCTATAGCAGCACAATCATACATGTTCCATTATCTACAATCGGCCGATGTCGGTATATCAAAGGCCGATAATATCCATATAAGCATCTGAGCGCAGTGACTGATTTACAACATTTTCTAGAAACAATTTCATGGAATATTTTCACGAAGCCAGTTGTATTTGAACATGTGTACAAATGAATTTTTTTCTATCAATTTCGACTGTATAGTGATGGAGATTGTGGTGGTGGTGGCTTCTAACCCGTTGATCAGAAATAGGTAATACAGCACAGCAGTATTATCCTATAACAGTTGCGAAAAATGTTCACATCTAAACTAAAATACTTCAATCTGTTCTCACTAAATTAAAATTGAAGGTTAACACCCGGAGCATGAAAATGAACCTGCAAGAAAAATTTTTCCCAAACTTGAGGTTGAGACTACTAATGAAAATATTGAGTGCCATATATTTATGTACTCAAACCGTATTGTGCTTTCTTACGAATCAATAATTATAAACATTAAAACTTTCACAAGAGGTGGCAGTGGTGACAAACTTCACCTACCAAATGGTTCGGCCCATACGCTGAAAATGAGAGAAGATCGCTACGCCTGTTTGGCAAGATACTTGCTTTACGTAAAAACTTTGTAATGTATATCGGCCGACCTATGTGTATATCGGCATAAGGACAGTCATATCGGTTGATTATATCGCCACAATATAAATAACAGTATTGGTCGATCCCTAGTTTTTCTTGAAATTAAGAAAAAACACTTATGAGCTGTGAATTCTTTTTTCTTGTAGGACCATTCTTAAAGAACCTTATAATGAAGAAGGTGTAAATAGCAGGCACAGTTTAACTGCATTTACAGCGAGAAGCACAGCAATCAGCGACCAGCGAGCATTGCGGTCTATACGATTTTAATTTAAGAGGAAAAAGGCGAAACTAGAAGAGTACAACTAATTATTTAATTACACAACTTATCGCGCTCACTCGGCACTTGAACGGATGGTTACGTGCACAAGACGCTGTGCCGTTATTTGTTGTTTTCATTAAAATAACTGACGAACGGACAATTGCAGAGGTAGAGAGCCGAAAGAAGAAGCTTGTACTCAATAGAAAAAATGGTATTAGGTAGGTTGAGCCTATTTATCACAATACTTGAAGACATGTCTCTACAGGGCGTTTCAGAAAGACGTGCCTATATTTTTAGAGTAGAAAAAACATTCAAAATAAAATATGTATGAATATGGTTCCAAAGATGCTCCCCTATCGGGGGCAGTCATATCGGCGAAATCGAAAAAGATTATATCTACGGAGCGGGTAAAGATACTGAGTTAAGATTAGACATTCAGTGAGCACATCATAAGCAATAAACACACAATGTTTCCCGGTCCAAAGATAAACCAGTGGACACCTAATAGGAAGTATTTTCTAAGCCACTGGTCTTTTCGGAGAAAAAGGTACATTTTATAATTTTGCATAAATTTTGCCTGTTTAGGAATTTTTGTCAGATCACTCGAGATATTAAGGTTCCACAATTGTGATTTTAGACAAACAAACAGAAGTTTCTAACATGGGTAACGATGAATGGTAAGTTTCAACTAACGTTGTAATGATATGACATTGTTTTCTACAGATGCCATATCGTGTTATCAATATCTTCGTCAATCTTTACGGTGTTTTCAGAATAGGGGGTTTAAACCTTTTCATAAGAATATTTTTGGATTTTACCTCAAACTTTCAAACCTAAATATCTCCAAGATGAGTGATTTGATAACAATCCCTCGATTTGAATGCACAAGATCTCGGATTCTGTCGATATTTATATCGGTTCTTAAAGATGAAGATCTTCCGCTCCGTGGTTCATCGTCAATCGACTCTCTCCATTGTCAATTTTGTCAATTAAACCACTAAAAAACCTAGGCTCTTGACAAAACACTACCTTGGTAGGCCGGGTGGAAGTTTAACTGTACCCAAGTCTGAATCACACCGTTGCTCGAAATTAACGTCATTAATTTTAAGAACACATTAGGGAAAACTGTTTCACAAAAAAATCTCTACGGACAATCAAATGACTCGAGCGAGTTTGAACTTGTACTGAAGGCGGAAAACATGTTCCCCTCTCTCCCCTCCAACCCCAGCGCCTCCAGTGCTGCCGGACCGAACGCTACATTGCCAGACTCAACACTTAATTTACAGACCTTTGCATATCGCCACGATATGTAGTCATCACGTGACCTAATGAAGAATAATATTTTGATGGCTCACTCATACGTGGGCATACTCTGCTGCTGTACCACTTACACATGCAGTGTTTCGCAGTTTTTTGGGGTTTCAGGTCTTTACGCTCTTTCTGTTGATATTGTCTTAATTTTATAAAAAATTACAATCTATTTTCCTTAAACCAGTTAGTAGAAAGGAATATATACAATCGACTTATTCACTGCTACAAAATGAAAATGATAACCTTGTATCCAGAGGGCCTTGCTGATTACATAACAGCCCTGAAAAACTAGATAATATATTTAATATTAGAAAATACGTGGTATCAGACTACGTTCATAAACACAAGACTGTGTTGTATTACAAGAAAGCAGTAAACAGTGTGGAATATTGTCGAGAACAAATGCCTATATTACCTACATTGTCACTCAATAATTATGAATCCTTAGGTTCCATCAGAGAGGAGTTCTTCTCTCTAGCTCAAGTGCATAAATCAGTCTTGAGGCGTTTCGTCACCCCTCTCGGCAAAACTCATCTGATCCGCCTGTGTGCAGCGGCGCCTACCTGTCGGCGGCGGCGCCGGCGTCGCGGCGTGCGCGGGACGCGCGGTGGGGCGGGAGCGTCGGCGTCAGGGCGGCTGCCACGGACAGCAAAGCCTCGCCGAGTGCCATGTTGCCGATGTCAATTGTGTCGTAATACTCATGTTGAGGATAAAAGTGTATCCTAGGTTTTTGAAGCGGGTACAGTCTAGGGGAGAGGTAATCGGTTGATAATCGATTTAGAAGCATTGGGTTGATTTGGTGCAGCGGCCAATCGCTTCCTATAGAAAAAATATTTTGCAGTGGTGGCCTCTGGTATAGTATTCATAATCCGAATCAGTATAGCTATCATGGGTTTTGAGGCCTCAACAGTTAATAACAAGCTGATATTTGGCGTAATGGTACTTAATGGTTTTAAGAGCAAAAAAATCAAACCTCACCACACCTGACACAATTGGCGTTCTAAAAATATTACTTTTCAAATCCACAAATAATGGTTTTCTTTATATATCGAAAAACATTAAAAAATTTAGGAACTCGTATCACTGGATTAAAAGCTGAGAAAATTTACTGTCTGTGTGATCATAGTTCCATAACAGATGAAGCGATTCGAGTGTGGTTCTTAACTATGTTTGATGGATATCGGTTCATCTGTTTGAGGAGGGGGTGAACGTGGCGGTGCATAGTCCAACATGAACGGGTATGCCTCAACAGCAGGGTTAAAACGTAAAACATCTATAACATGTAAAAGCAAAACGACAAAATGTCAACTGTCTGACTAGATAGTGGGTAGTGCAGAAATAGTTCATTCCGCTAAAGCTCTCTGTGAGCGCTGTTAGTGTCACTATAGGGCTATCTGTGGAGGAATGAGTCAACAATGCCAGCATGCTTTGTTGGTTGCAGAATGGCGAGATAGTCTGTAGACTATGTTTTTCTGAGAAGATGCGAAAGAAGGAAAATTAGTTGAATAGCAAGATCTCATCTGGATGATTGTGTGATGATTGTGTATATTGGTCTGCATGTGTATAACATCAGTGATATTTGCTATGTAAGAAAATTGTTATTGAATATGCTGCCCAAGAAGTATATAAGCTTTGCTAGACGGGTTATTTGTGCTGTCCTTTCTGAAGAGAGGTTATGTTCAAAGTTATAAATTGAAATTTTCTGTTTTTTTCAAAAACTTGCATTACGGGAGATCACTACCGCGCCCGCGTTGAGTAATGTCACATCACAGACAAATAGTAATAACGCATATCACACAAAACATTTTTGCAGTGCCTCACATCTAGTCGTTGATTTGTATTTTCTACTTAATATCGCAAAATGAACTTCTATAACACTTAAATGACTAGAAATAAAGAATAATGTGAAAAACATCTTCATGGTTCATAAATATTCCTACATGTAGGCTAGTTTCTTTCCTGTTAGTTGTAACATACTTCACCAATCAGGCATTTTCTTTTTTTACCTCTTTGCCCTGCCGTTTGCTTCCAGCTATAGTATACAACTTACAGCTTAGCCCTGCAATAATGCCAACTTTGAAGAAGATGTCACATCAAATCAGAGCCAAGCATTGATAGCTGAAGGCAACACCTACAGCTACAAAACGAGTGCACGTGAAGTGGTCAGCAGCTAGTTCTAAGTTGACATCTTGTAGAAAAACCTACATAATGTTCCAAAAACCTATAAAATGCCCAAAAACCTGATATAATGTCACTTTTTAAGATACGTAATACCCCTACGGGTTACCAGATGGTAAGGCGGTATTTGTGGATTGCTAAGTCGGATTTTTAATAAAAACTGTCGTTAAAAAGACAGAACCGCTTTTCGGTATGATTTTTTGTAATTTTGCTAATAAAAAGTGTCAACAAGAAATTCACTTGAATGTCGGGGTTTTTAAATTTTTGTATCAAATACCGTGTCCATCAGCTATCACTCTGTCGAAATATATTTATGAAAATATTATTTTTGAACATTTAAAATAAATAATATTTTTGCATTTACAAGATATTTTTAGAAAATCAATTGTTTCAGGTGAGATAAAGGATCGGATTAGTTTCCATCTTAATTACCTTATTTTTGAACTGACCCAAGCACCATACTAGTTTCTGTCTACCCTTAACCTAGCTCAAATGCACAGCCCGGCCCGGGTCAGATCGAAAAGCAGCCATTTCTTGACATTTGTGGACTGCTTGACATTACTAAAACTGAAGAACGTATTTTTTTGGTGAATTACTCCATAATTGTGGTATTGTAGGAAAAAAGGGATGGTCGTACCTTCCATACTCGCATTGGGTTCCGTCAGTCATTCGTATAGTTGAAAGGTAAGGCCCATAGATAATAGAAACAAGATAATCTCAGCATTTATTTGGTTTGAGATCGATCATGGGACTGCTGCTATAAAACGATGGGTTGCTGATCATGGAAGTGCTGCGAGATATCAACTTACTATGTTATATTGGCCGAACTAGTTACTAATTGTGAATGCAAAGAAACCATTGACCTCGCTCACAGCTAGGGCTGTCGATATTGAAATCGGAATTTGTCATCAAATACATTGGAGCTTGGTTGGATAAAGAGGCAAGCATGATGCGGCGCCTACTATTCGATGATGACATCAGTGAGAGGTTAATACACTTAGCGGGGATGAGGAATGGTGAGCTCGGCATGCTTATTACGTAATACATCGCATTCTGACAGTTGCAACTGAAACATTTAGTACACTGTTCAGATAGCATAAGTGCTGTAAGCGTCACAAAAGCAGGAATGGCGCAACAGCCATCTTGTTGATTTTAGCCTGCAATCTGCATTTCGATAGCGCAGTTTGTAGGTTACAGGCTCGGGGGATACACGCAGATGCTTGCACTATATAGACTATAGAGCGGATGGAAGCTTGCAATGCAAGAAATACTTTTGGAACATTGCATTTATCTGAGTAACAACGGGCATGCTGTTTGCCGCTTGACATGTTTTTTTCTCTGTATAAATATTCGTGGATATGACGTGATTTTCATATTTTTCTTCAAATATTGTGTCCTATTGGTCAGAATTTTAAATTTTGACCTGTGCGTTGTTTGGTATTGTCTCCAATCTTTGGATTGCTTACCTCGAAAGAAGACTTCAACATTTTAAACTGATTTTTATATTATCTATAGTTTATAAAAATTTTGGACGTCGACGCCCTGAAGAAGAGAATAAATATTCTTGAAATGTCGACATGGACAAAAAAAAATCAAACCTCCTATCTGACTTGAATTTGTTGTGCTGTGACCGCTACCCCCAGATTCTAATCAATACTACCCTCCTCACAACGTACATATGTACAGTTCCAGTGCTACTTGATCAATGATCATTCGATAGGTATCTGCTAGATTTGAACTCAGGCGTGAGAAACCATACCTCTGTGTCTGATCAAGCGGTGATGCTTAAAATATCTTAAATGGCTTCACATTGTATTTTGAAAAATACGTATATTTCGAGGTAAAGGTGCAACAACGGCAACGTCGCCTTCTCACCCTCAGCGCCACCAGAACACCGCCGAGCTTTTGCGACACTAGCGCCCTCCTATGTACGCCACTGTCCACCACCGACCGATCCGGCGTCGCCTACGCTCACCTGGCCTGCCCCACCCCCACTTGACCGACGTCGCCGTCGCGACGACATACACACACACCGTCATACCGTCAGTCGCACTCGCACGCCCGATTTAGACGCACACTCTCTCAAACAAAACACTGTCAGACACTGTTCCGTTGTTCCGTTGTTTTCGGTACCACCGCGCGTACGCGGTTTCTGTCTAAGCTCGAACGCGGCGAGAAACACCCCTGGACACCACGGCGCAGTGTGTTTATGTTGTGGATAACCTGTGAGTGATTGTAGTTTATAGGCTGTTTTGTGTCTTTTTGTGGTTGGTAAAGTGCAAAACCTTGTTGTAAGTGTTCAGATGTCAGTCTCTAAGTTTCACAGAGCACATTGTTTGTGTTGCAGTCCTTTGCACAGTGGTTAGGTTTTGCACTATATCTATCCAGGGTTGTAGAAAAGATAACCTTAAAGCTCAATCTCTAGGACCAATGAACCCAAACCTGAGTCTTAACGTTGTCTTTCCAGCTACGGTCAAATCATCTTTTTAACAATTGGCGCTTGATAAGAATTACCTATATACATACTCCGCTGACAATATACTCATCCATTTGTACACTATCAGTACAGTGGATATAATGCTAAGTTGTTACCACAATTTTCACACATTGTATTGGCTAAATGCAAGTTTTGTGTCTGTTTGGTAAATTGCAAAACGTTGATCTAAGGGAAATAAATTTTATGTTGCAGTCCTTTGCACAGTCGTTAGCTTTTGCACTATATCTATCCAATGCTGTAGAGAAGATAACCTTAAATCTCAACTTTTAGGATCTAACAGCACACATTCAATACTGGCTTATTCCTTCTCATCTCTCTTGTCACCTTTTCAGACACACTGGGATCATAATTGAATAATTGATATAACTAGACAAAAAATAGACTACACTAAAAATCCACCCATATAAATTGAAATTCTGTTGATATTTGTGTATACCTGTATATCTTACTATAGCTCTTAACACATTGGTTTTGCATAAACCTAAGTTATAGTTTGTAGCTTTATAATCTGATCTAACATATATATTATGATGATAAGAAACACTTTAAGAAACAAAAATTGTGCAAACTGGCTACTTCCTGCTAGACAACAAGTTTCCCAATATTCTTTTCTAACACTCATTCGATTCCTCAGATCTTCATCAGATTTTTCCACTGAAGCTTAAGTAGTAAGTCTGGAGATTCAGCAGATCTCTCAGATCATCCATATTTCTTTTGGAGCAGCGTAAAATAGTAACTTCAAACGTCATCTAGAAAGTTTATCTGTGCATTTAATTTTGCAGAGTTTTTGTTGGTTTTCAGTAAATCTTGTTCATCCTGTATCTCCAAGAAGTTTCTAGAAAGATATCATTGACCAAGCGACCTTAGTTTTGCTTAAATTGCAAGTTACAGTTTTAAGTTCATAATCTGTTTATTCCACCAAAAACAGTTTTGAATAAAGCACGTTATTTTCTGACGCAGAAAACTGTTTTTAGTATTTGTATCAAACTGTATATATTGTCACAGGTAAAGCTTGGTAGGTATTGCGGCGGCGAAGTTATGATAAAAAATATGACAAACCTAAACTTCGTTATTAATAGTAAGTATGCGGCTCCCGTGACTTTTAGACGAAGTCAATGAAGCTTTTTCTGTTCACTATAAGCGT